CAGCTGCTTTTTATAAGCACAAAGCTTTAGCATCTGCAATGCCTCTCTCAGTCTCACACTCAAACATACACTCCAAAGCCAACACACACAAACAGACATACAAACACACAAATATGTACCAACTCACACATCTACACCCACTTGCCTGGACGTTGACCTTCACATTTGGTCACATTGAGTCACATATTTTCAGACCATACTCACATTTGATACAACACATGAAAACAACGCATTGTTATACTATTGTCCTGCTTATAAATATACAAAATGTGCTTTATGTCAAGATTAAGATTATGCAAATGACATTCAGATTTACAATTGTATTCCACATTAATAAGCACACACCTGCATGGGGTGTTGGGGATGGGGTAGCGGTTGCAGCAGAATCCTCATCTGCAATTAAGGTGCAATTGACAAATAGACCCACCTATCAAAAAGCTCAAAATCTGTCACTGCCAGGTCAAAAAGGCAAAAGGCCTAGAAGGAATAAAACGCCATTGATTTCATGCAAGACAAGTCTTCCAATGGAGTATGCAGCTCTTGGATAGGGAGAATAATACCCAAATATTAAGCGATGATTGAAGCCTAACATATCTGAAAAATTAAACATTGTAGGAGCGTATGCTCATTATTGCAAGCTTCTCAAGACGCTGTTCCAAACAGACTGTCTCTTAAGCATTTTGGCGCGCAGAAAACACATCATAAAAACAGCTGGCCACCTTATCAACACTTTATTTAATGTAGGTATGTGTTTGCTTGTTTGCTGATGCATTTATTTATCTGGATGCTATCATTTAAAGACTTGCATACAAATGGCTTTACCCCCCTTTCGCCATGTCAGTACTTCAATTTTGAATCCTTATTTATCGGTTTATATTCATGACTATTTCTTAAGACATCTGACAACACAGACACTGGACCATGACGTCCTCAGGTGTAGGTATGTTTTTTATTTATTCATAAAGGTCTACATGCAATTACATACGGCCCTAAGAGAATAAGAGGACTGTTTTTCAAAGCAAATGGTATGTCAACAAATGACCCCAACTAATAAGAGTGAAGTCCATACATTCTTATCAGGAAAGTAAAGATATCTATCGACTTTCAGCATTATACATCATTTGGCCATGCTGCTGAGCCATGTAGTGTGCAACTGACATGACTTGTAAGACTTGCAGGACTTGTTTCAGTAGCATTTAAGGTGAAAGAGCTAGAGAATGGGACTTATTGATGTTAAGAAGCATACTTACCAGTTGGTGGGGGGGAGCAAGGACCCTCTTCCTTAACAGTAGAGTTTTCAGACTCTGCCTGCTCTTTGACCCCAACCCCACCAGGCTGTGGTTGGTTTGTATTAGTCTCGGTGGGGCTTGGCTTCTGAGCCTCCACAGCCTGTAATGGCTCAGGCTCTGAGGGCGTCTGGTTTCTTCCCATCAGTCTCTACTGGCTCTTTCCCATCTGCTACAGCCTCTGTGCAGCAGACAAAGCGCTAGGCTCGAGCAGCAAGCTTGATGCACAACTGCTGGTAGTCTTGCAATACAATGCTTGCTCAACAAGGTGGTATACATGGCTAATGACCAGATAGCCGCAATTCTAATTGGTGTCATTTAAGGAAGTTGATTTTAAACTATAGATTATACAACTATGCTATTGGATTTGTCAGGCTTGTTGATATGAAAACCACATTTATTTTAATCAAGTCCAACATATGTTAATTTTAAAGCACCAATGTGGTATGCTATCTTGTGTCATGTTTTCATTGGGTGCACCATAGGAGCATTTATCTGGTCATTGCATATCTATCCTTTAGAGAGATTAAAGATGGTGGAATTTACTGACTTTCACAGTATAAATTAAATGATTTGATTGCTTGTACCATGACATTTAGACAACTGGCTTTTGACGAAAGCCGACAGTAAATACAACCAAATATCCCCAATCTCTCTATAGCTCATGTGTGTTGAATAAGTCACACAGTTTCACAAAGGCACAGACAACTGGAGTATGAGTCACTATCAGCACCAAGCATCAAAGCAAATGCAGGTAGAGCAGTGCAGGCATGTGGATATGTACACAGTTAGTGGGGAGGTGATCTTACAGCTAACCTAATTAACAATTTTTACCAATAACGGTGTGTTGAGCAACCAAACCTACTAAACAAAAATGCAGTTCCATGCCTCAGAGTGATTTGAGTGTCTTCAAGTGAGAAAAAAAAACTTTTCACAAACCAAACAAACTCGTGATGTGAGTGTGATGTGAAAATAACCCAACACTCTGGGGCAAGTGAAGGGGACGTCAAGGTTACCCACCTGTTGGTGGAGAAACCTCCAGGGTAATCTCAGGTAGGGGCATGGCACCGTTACTTTCTGGGGCAACACTTTCTAAGCATGTAACAAATATAGTGGTGGATGGAACAGCTGCTTTTTATAAGCACAAAGCAACTTCAAGGCCTCTCTCAGACTCAAACTCAAACATACACACACAAACAGACATACAAACACACAAATATGTACCAACTCACATCTTAACCCACCTGCCTGCACCTAGTCCTTCAAACTTTATCACACTGAATAACATCATTTCAAACCATTTTCACATTTTATACATTACATCACATCACATTTTTTTCCCGCTTAGATATGTGTTGTTCACAATTGCAATGCCCAGAAATAAAAATACACCATGTTCAAATGATGAAATTGTGAACAAAGATAACACTTAGATCCAGCGTCAATTTATTTTATTGAATGCTAAAAATAATGGATGGCAAATGTCTTTCTCTTAAAATGTTTTACATACAGTAGGAATATTTGTGATAAGAACCTCAAAACCTGAGGTGTCCTCTCTGACTATGTTGGAGTCTCAAGATGCTGCAGCTCCAAGGTCAAACCCTATCGCCGGCAATAAGCCAATTGCATGCCAGCACCTTGCTCACATGGGGGCGTCCCGTGAGCTGAATCAACAGACAGGGTTTAGCTGGATGGCGAAAGGAATGTCAGAGATGCTGACAGCTTGGTTGTTGCCGCAGATCGCTCTGGAGCACAGCAGCAAACCATACTGCAGACTATTGGCTCCACATTTACACTCCTATAAGACTGTATTTGCACGTTCACGCCAAGCACAGAGCTGCCATCATCATCTTTCTAGTGAAGGGTTGGTTTTTATCTGTACACTTGGCAGTTGGATTTTGTGTTAATCCAAAGAGTTGCTTTTAAGCTTGTTTTTGATAACAAATATATATATGTATTGTGCATACATAGTGCAGCTATTATCTGCTAGACTAAAAGGCAATTTGGGCAGATTGGATGTCTATCATAATCCACTCACCTTCTGGCTGGCCATTCGCCATCTCATCTAAAAGAAGAAAAAACAAACATCACTTTAAAAACATGATAACGAGATGTCTTGCAGTTTGTCCTAATCCTAAAAATGTGTGCGCCTATTGACTTCTTTATTGATATCCATGTACTGTACCACTAAGCCATATCATCTATGTGTCAGATGGTTGGCTCCTCATTAACTGATTGTGGTAGGGTTTATTGTGAAATGGCCCCAGACACACCATTTGTATGCCCTCTGCCTCGTCTAGACTTATGAAACTAATGGTGGTGGTGGGGCAGTGTCAGAAACATGTTTGGATATGACATTCAAAACCTGCACCGGGACTCAACGCAGGGCCTAAACAGGTCAAAGCACCCATACAGCCATTGGTATGCAGTGATTGGGTTAAATAAGGTACCTCTTTTGTTATCAGTGGGTTAGTGGAGCATATAGTCATGATATGTTGTCATATACTCATGGGAGTATTAGTATGTGGAGCAGCTTAATATATCATTGTTCTTGCTCAGATAAGTTTAAATTATTTATGTTTACCTTACTAGCCAGACGCCTGATATTACTCATGTGGAAGTCTCAAACATCCCCTTCACACACCTTGTGGTTAAAAGAAGTCCTAAATTCAGCCAAACTCGAGAAAATAAGGTGCATACTGAGGGGCTCCCTGGGGAAATTCCACAAGATGTGGAACCCCTTCTACAAGTATATACGGGAGCTGGACATGCCGGATGTCTCTGTACAATAGGGTGGTGGACCTGCGGTGTTAAACTGTGATTAGTAGGCGGCTGACTGACCAACAAGTGCTATGTTTTTATTTGATATATTTGGTATTTTTGTTCCATTTATACACATTGTTTGATTTCTACTTTTGCATTATGTTATTAATAATGGTCTTAGACTCAGAGCCTTTAGATTTAGATTTTGTTTTTGTCGTTGATTTTTGTCCTGTCCCAGCCCATTTTTTGTTTTGTTTTATTTATTTTTCGTTTTGTCTTTGTTTTTTATCTTGTCGGATTTTAGTCACACTGTTGTCATCCTTACTTGTTTGCCAACTGCTATTGTGCTGTCTGTCTGGCTGAAACGTCAAACTTGGTGCACATGTGTCATATCAAGAGAAAGAACACTGACCCGACATTCCGTTGTGTGTTCAATGGGAACAAGCGTAGCAACATTATAAAACTACTCAAGCTCACTGTAGTTCAGGTAAGGCCTCTGTTATTTTCCTTTTTGGGGATTCCTACGGCCCAATAGCCCATTATATCCAAACCAAGTCTACAAAAAGCCAATTTGTCCAACAGCCTGTACTACCAAAACCAAAACATAATTATTCAGAGAGCCCGTTGCTCAAAAAATACAAACTTTGAGGCAAGACCCAGTGTTAGTGTGAAGGCCTGTATAAGAGGTATTCTCTAGAACCAACATCTTGCCAAAAAGATCTTGAGGAATGTTAATAATTAATTACATTTCAATATCTAAACCAAGTATCCTTTACATCAAGTGTCCCACTTTCTAAGATAGCTAAATATGTTGAAATTAACCTGTAGCCTGTATTTGAGACTTAAACCTCTTCTTTGTGTATCTTTAGATGTAAAGAAACCATTGTTCCCTTCAAAGAGAGACTCCGTTTCTCCCTGCCAGATATTTGCAGCCATCTATGAATACTGCAACACTTATCCATGTATGTCCATTGACTATGGACCATTTTGACAGCCATCCCTCCATCTCAAACGATTGCTTCCTAGCATTCCTCTTCAAAACTAGCTGCCTTCACTCATCACATCAAAACAATGTATTGCTGGCCACTGGGCCAAAATCCTGCAGGGTCACATCATGCACCCGAGAATAAGACTTTCTGTCTCATCTCCATTGAGATAATGAGAGTGGAGAAAGGTTTTGTTTCACCTCTGAGGACTCCCAGTGCAGCTGACAAGGCTGCAGGTATTTCAGCTGTTCCCCCTGCTGGCGTGCAGACAGAAGAGCTCACCGAGGCTCGGACGTGAGCCGAACTGACGGCAGCTTAATTTTCTAACAGAGACCTTCATTGCTTGAATAACCCTACATTCATGATGCTGTTATTCCTTGTCGTGGGACTTTATTTTTTATTCTGGTTAGAAAGGAACTTTAACAAGTAACTAATGTGTCTTTAAGTGTCTGAGGAGAGATTGCAGCTGTTCTGGGGCAGCAATTCATTGCTGAGAGGCTTTCCCCAGTGTATCTTACCATGGGTTTGATTTATGAGATCGTATTCTGTAACACAAAGCAACTGAGTCAGAGGATAGAGCTCAGGGAGAGTGAAAGACCTTAGAGACAGTAAATATCATGAGGTGAAGACAAGGGCTTGTTCACAACTGAAACCTGAAGCTGAGTGGCGGCGAGGACAGTACTCTAAGGCCTCTGGGCACCAGGTTAGAAGTTTAATGGGCGAGGCGTCTGACCTCTGAACACTCCAACCTGAACTGAGGGTGCAAGGGAGATGTCTGTTTTGGTGTGTGGCACAGGAAAAGGAGGAGGGGTTTGGCGGCTGTGGAGGGAGATGGCAGGAAACAAGGGATGGGGATTAAAAGTGCACTCATTCTGAACTATTCCAGGGACAAGAATCCAGGTCCCAAGAGATCTGCGAGCGACTCAGCCAGTCCGTCATATCTGGTCCGGACTTTTTAAAGGCTTGAGAGTGGGGTGTCTAAAACAACAGCCCTGGCCTCCTTCTCTTCAGCTGTTCAGACTCATTTAAAGAACAATACTTTTCTACTCTCATTTATCTGCTGCTCTTGGCTATGCAGCAGCTATTTATGGGTAGTGTTTGTAGCAGACTGGCATCTGCTGCCTCTATTTCCCCACAGCTTTGTCTTTGAGGGGATTAGTGGTGTTTATGGCAGTGGATGGACACAATGTACACGTTGACAGAACAATATAAGAGATGAAGGCCAAGCTGAACTTAATATTGTTTCATGACCTTGGTTTTTGTGGCTGCCTACATGTTCTTGACCATTAACGAGCCATCTGGGTATAAAGGGTAAACCTGGATGGGAGAAATAGGATTATGGAGCGTTCCTTTTCCCAAATGTATAAAGGCAATAAAAGAGCACCCATCAACCAAATCTTGAAAATGCAATTTTATTTCAGCTAATATTATTTATATAGACCAAAAGCGCAAATATGTCTCAAAGGGAACTCCACATCCTTAGTTGATTCAAATAAGAAAATCCTTGCCCCAAAAAATCTTGGGTAAAAACAGGAAGGCTCAAGGTTCTTTCTTCCAGGAAAATCAACGAATAGATATCTTGTGTAGAGAGTATTAAGTTCAGATCTATGTGCAAATCAAGGTGTCAGGAAAAACTACAGGCAGATCACAGGTCCCCCTGGATAACACGTTTATTAAAAACTTCAACTCACTCTAGGAAGGCTTCCAAGATGAAAACAAAATGTTCCAATTCCTTTACATGGGCATGTTTGGGTCGACAGCAGACCCCCCCCCCCAAAAGACCTAGGCTAATGTGGAAGGTGGGAGTAATACCATATCGTAATGACAGACATGAGCGGATGAAAAGGGAATGTTGATGGACATGATGGTACAGATGAGTGAGAGTTATGGTGTGGAAGAGAGGGGATGGGTTAATGCTGTGTGTGGTTTGAATTAGGAGTTGAATTAGGTGCAGGGGGAAAGTTTTACGGATGGAATCGCATCAATCATAAGAAAGACAGACAATAAAACATTTTTATACAACCCGGCCCCTCGCTCAAATTGCATCATCCTTCATAGGTCTTTGCTTGTCTTCAACTCTTCGCTCATCAACATTCCTACACTGATCTTCATCATCTTGTCTTTCTCCAGCTGGACCACAAAGAATAATCCAGTATGCCAGTATCCCCCCCCCCTCGCCCCCCCCCCCCACAACAATAGTATTCATGTTCATGGACCTTAAATCCTCCCTTGCAGCCCAGGATGTTAGAAACACGCATGCATCAGTAATACAATACCACTGTCAAAGTCAATTTGAGGATTCCTACGGACAAGCTGGCCATAGTGATGGAGTCGTCTGACTGTGCTCCCCTCAAACTAAGACTAAATATAAATATATCAAGCCAATCACAAAATAATCTAAAGGTTTTTTTTGCTATCAAATTATTACAAGCCTCAAGTAGGCTTTGTTGGATCTTTCTTTTACATGCTTTGATCTAACATGCACAAAACTATGGGGGCCCCTACCTTTCTTTGTGGGCTCTGGCATCTTGCGCCTCGTCCCAAGAAAAAAGCGTCAAGAAGTCAAAAGAAGCAGGTAGGTGTCTTTAGAGTAATGTGCCTGTAGAGGAGGACAGGTAAGGCGTAGAACCCCTCTCTTCCAGGAAGGAGAAAGATGATGAAAGGACAGAAGACGAAAAAACCTCAAAGACTCTTTCGGACAAGAGTGATGGGAGATGAGAGAGCACAGAGATACGGTTTGAAATCTCACTGGGGGAGCAAAGGAGGACCAGTGATAGATCCAGGAGGGACAGGCTTTCAGGCCTTATATAGAGAGGTGGCATGCTCCTCCTCTCTGTAGTGGTTGCTCTATCACTGTCCCCTACCCACCGGCTGCTGTTATAGCTTTTAAAAAGAGAAGAAGAAAAGTTCAAGTTAATTTTACAATGGTGGATTATAGTTCAATATATTAGTTTTGTAGTTGGAGCAGTTGGATTTAAACTTAAATAATATCATTTTTGCAGAGCCCATATTCCTACAAAATGTCATGAATTTGCTATCTTGAGAGTTAGGTAAGCAGATAGCTTATTACGATAGCATTCCCATGGGTGTCCATTAAATAGAAAGTTGCAGCTGGTCATCTTGTTTTACACAACAATTTGAAACACGATAAACAGATAGCCCAGCTCTGTCAAAATCTTCATACCAGCTCCTTCAAAGTCAATTAGAAAAATGTGTTTTTATTGTATTACTTTCATCCATATGTCTCCGTATACGCAACAACGTGAGTAATTCAGCATTGCTCAAAATGTCAGTGTCATTTAAGGGTACATTTGTAGTCATTGTTTCCAGATTCCCCCCTCGGGATCAGGGTGAGGGCTGTCAGCAGGGCATGAGAGGTGAGTATCCTTAATGCACTACAGAAGCAGGGGAAGAGGGAGGAAATCAGCAGGTGGGCTTTATAAAAAGGGAACAGTGTTGTCATTGTCCCAGGTCTGATGCTGATGTAATGCTCTACTACAACTGATTGACAACATGTACAGAGCACGTGGATAAACAATATGAACAAGTTATATAAAAAGTTTGAGAGGGAATATTGCGACATGCCACAGATATCCTTTTAATCCAGGGGGAATGCTGTCCAAGGAAAGCAGGCTTTTTAAACCAGCAAATAAATACTGAGGTGATGACTGGGCGGTGTTTATATGGCTTATACTGAGAAAGCTGCCATAGACCTTGACATTTGACATGTGTATCTGACATGAAAAGAGAGTTTCATTGTGAATTATGTCATTGATGTTGCTTCTTTGGTCCAAATTAATATTTTTAGCACGTCAAACCACAAGTGATAAATCAGATGTGGTGTCCGATCAAAGGTTGCGAAGATTAAACAACATGACTGCTGGATTTGGACGAGCTCCAGCAAGCCTGGACAGTACCAGGTGTCTGCAGAGAATCTAACAATACCTTTACCACTTTAGCATGTTAATGATCTGAACATGGAAGTGCACTTAAAACATTCACATTTAAATCCTCAGACAAGCCAATAGGACAGTCAAGACAAGGCACAGCTCTATTTTAGGGGCCGTAGATAATGTCTGTGCACAGGAATGCCGCCTATATCCACTCTCAGATATTTGCTTGAGCAATCATAGCAAAGAGAAAGGTCCTCAAAATGAGTCACATGCAGGCGAACACATGTCATGTGATTTGGACGTTTTTAATTAAGAAGTTTCCTACATGACTTTTTGTATGTGGCCTTTCTTGGTAACAGACACTCATAGCTCAGTTCACCCATTTATAACCCGCAGTGGGCACCAGCAGTAAATACTAGGCTTAGGGAGGTATCATGTGGGTCTGCTACAAACAGCACAAAACCATTTGGTATTGCCCGGGATGGCCGAGGGTTCACATCACAGAGGCGATTTAGCCATGAGGTCACACCACAGGGAAAGGGAAAAAGAGGCAGAGGGGCTTTGAGATGGACTACACTGACACCCTCTGGATCTTTGCAGCCAGCCACAGATTGTACATAAAGGAAAACACAGTCACAACAGGCGAAGAGGCACATTAGTCTCATTAGGAATCTACTCAATGGGAAACCTGAACTGCCTTTTGAGATTTATGTTGACCAGTAAAATTGCTATCTGGTTGGTTGAGAAATAAATGTACTGTTGCTTTTAGATCATTTGTATATTACTGATCTAAACACGTACTGACATGTTATACACATTTTTATAATGTGGTTTTTCTTTTCTTATTATTGTAATATTAATGTTTTACGGCATTTGTTATGTATGCCGGAAACCATAGAAAATATGAATAAATGATGATAAGGGTTAGGGTTAGTCAATTGCAATATTATACAGTATATAAAAACTACTTTAGAGAAGTCTTGCTGAATTCAACTTTGTTTCCATCTATACTGTTGTTTTATAGTCTTATACAGATTAATAATAGACAATCTAATCCTTTTACTGTACTTCACAATATAGTGTGGCTGACATGTTATCTTTTACCTTGACATACTAAACATAGAATTAGCCTTTATCTATTTCAGCTAAGAACAATTCTTACCTAAAATAATATAAAAACACAATAAAATGTTGACAGCTTTGCAAGAGTGAAATATGTTTTTTATTTTATTTATTATTTACACCATAAACTCAATGCATGTACTATCTAAAAAGAACTGTTTTTTAACTCACAATATTGACACACTTGAAAGTGTTAGCTTTTAGATTAAATATAAGGACGAAAAATAGGTTTATATATATGATGTGAAAATGAGCTATACAAAATCTAGTCCACTCTACAGATCACCACGTTAACACTTCCGCAGTAACATCAGTGTCTCTTGGCTGAATTGGTAGGTGAGCTTCTTCTTCACCTTGAAGATCTCTCCGGACCGGGCGTAGTTCCTCAGGGCGCGGGACATCTTCTGGTAGGTCATGGGCCTCTTGTTGCCCTTCCTCTGTCCCCACAGTGCCGCCACCTGGTCCTTGTTGGTGGAGGAGAAGCGGAAAACGCCGGCCGATGCTGGCACCCAGGACACGCAGTGGGCCATGTTCGGATCCTCCAACATCTCAAACAGAAAGTGAAAGAGGCGCACCTTTCCACCTGCAACCATGGAGCAAACAGTAAGTGGCTACACCTGATAGGGATTTAGAAGAGGGCATTTTGGAATATAACAGCAGCTGTGCCACTTTAAAACAGTTGGTGCTGTTACAGTTAATCATTTCCTCAAATACGACAATTCCCAGAAAATCTCCACATCGATGGATGCCTTTCAGTGGAGAGGGTATGGCTGTAAACACTGCGGTTGTCTGATAGATATGTAAAAAAAACACCACAGAGCTAAGCCATGCACAGCTTAATAGTTTTTTTACAGTAAAGGGAAGGTCTCTTATTTGCTCTCTTGGTATTGTTTCCCCCAGGCTACTAGCAACCAGAGCAATAACAGTATCTAGTGACCAAAAAAAGGAGAACTCACCACTCCCTGCTGTGTGTTTGGTTGCTTGTGTTGTTGATACAAAGTTTGGCAGTGACCCCCGCTCAAACAATGTTGCTGTTGTGTTGTGGCTGAGAGCGTGTGGAGCGACGTGTGCCAGCAGAGGTTCATGTTTGATGATCTTTGATAAAGAAAAACAAGGATACATTTTGCACATTTTACAAAATTATAAATACAGGTGCCTTATGGGGAAAAAACATTGTAATGCTTACAGGTGGCTCATAAAACATCCAGTGCTGCTCGCACGGTTCTGCTTCCAGAGTGGAAAATCTTTCATCGACAGGCGCACCTGCAAACCAATACACATCGTCCACTGTTAAAAGCAAAAATGAAGATTAAGTTCATCTTTGGGTGTTGTAGTTTCCTTTCCCAGGCTTTCCTCTTACCTTTTTCTGCAGCATGTTGTCTGTAGTACTCCTCTAGGAACTCTAGGATCACCTCCAAATCTGATTGAGACTCCTGGTAAGAATTCTGATGAATACAAAATAAATCAGCTTTGAATACCTAATAACATTCAACGTTTTGCCTTGGAATTATATTTTAAGGTAATACTTAATGTCATCCTTTACCATTGCTGTTGAAGTTGAATGCAGTACAGTCCTTGCAGTTTGGCAAATTTCACAAAACTGACTTTGAGACGCTCAAGTGTACGGACTCTTATTATACCCCCCACAGCAGCGGGGCTTTCTGCATAACACCAGACGTTTGCTACCCAATGCTCACAGGAACAATGACCACCATCCCACAAAGCCCCATCACCGGCACCAGTCAACCCATCAACAAAGCCTCCCAGCACTGACCACATCCTCCCCGCTGAAGCAGATAAGACCGGGCCTGAAGGCAGCGTCTACACAACGCTCTCTTTTCAGGAAAAACACACTTGCTGCCACATTTTTCCTCACAGGATGTGTCTTAATTTCAGATTTTGTAGTGCGCTTGTTGCAATATTTCAATGGAGACGGTGCCAAAATCTTTCAACACGCTGATCATTTCACAGTTTTCTCTTTTCGTGACAAAAGACGTGAGCGTGGCTTTTTTTTATAAAGTCAGTCAAATAAAACACTAGTGAGAGTACAAAGATAGATTTATTGGTTTTATTCAAATAAAAAGGTTAATACAAAAAATGGCTCTAATAATAGCAAACATTTCTTTATACACAATAAGATAATCAGTATACAAAACAAGAACAATTATTTACATTTCATAAGGTAATGCTTATAACTGGTTGTTTAAAAAACAGGAGCCATAGACAAACTTATAAGTAGAAATTGTTATAATTTTTATAAAATAATCCTCATTATCTCTCCCACGTCTTGTAAAGACCTTAGAGTTATTTTTATTGCAACGGGTCAATTGTTTAAAATGAACACCTGTTGCAGGTGACCTATTTGTTCACCTTTTTATGCTTCTAGCTGCCATCTTATAAAATAATGCATATATATTTTTTAAAGATAACTTTTAATTCCTCAGACTAAAGTGAAAAACTTAACCCTACGCCTTGTGTTTTTCCTCATAAGTATATGTAAGCATCGTTGAATATATAACTGCATTTTGTCCTTTGAATATTTCTAAATCATTCTTTAAAGTAACATTTAGGACATTGTCAATCAAATCTATAGAAATAGAATATACATCTCTATTCTTTATGAACTTTAGAGAAGTTTCTCAAACTATTCATTTAGTCTTTTTTAAAGTATTTACAGTTGATTTACACTGAAACATTTTACTGGCAGTGTATACATCCACAAAAGAAATGTTTGACACAAAACGTAAATTGACTAAATATGGGCTCAGTTTTCGAAAACCTCCTGTTAAGTTCTTGTTAATCAGACCCTTAATAAGAGCTTCATTACAAATGTGCTACCATAAGTTGCAGCACAAATAGAAGCATGATTTCAATTAAATCTAATTATATCCAAATGTTCACTTTTCTGTTAGATTTACGTGTTTATTTTTATTTAAATCTAGGGCTTCTATAATTCAGCCCTCACATTTACAATTTCATTTACAGTAACACTCCTCTTTATGGAACATACACATTTGATAATAAAGGTTATTTAAACAGCTTTTATTACATTAATAGCCCCATAGCCTGTAGTAGATTCAGGGACTGGATGTGGACCCAGAAGGTTTGAGAGTGGAAAAACTGAAGTCTTTGAAAAACCTTATTAAGTTATTTTCCCCCTCAGTGATCAGAAGCAGCTCAGAGTTTGGTTGTGTTTTGTGAAGTGAAGCTGGAGGCCAGGTCATAGTCCTCCTGCAGCTGGTAGTGTCCGTACCAGGTGTGCCAGTCGGCCGCTGCAGGGCCGCAGTAGCTCTGTTCGGCGGGGCTGGGCTGCCGGGGGTGGGCCTCCTCCTGAGCTGCCGGGCGGCAGGGCAGGTGTGCCGAGCCCAGCCTGTGCAGGATGTCTGGGTTGAACTGATACGTGAGTTTGCGGCGCACCTTGATGATCTCCCCGGTGCGGCTGTAGTTTCTCAGTGCCCTGGCCATCTTCTGATAGGTCATGGTCTTGCGGTTGCCCTTGCGTTGGCCCCAGCACTCGGCCAGCTTCTCCTTGTTCTTGGAGATGAAGTGGAAGGTGCCGCTGCTGTTATCCGTCCACTGGATTGAGTCGCCCATGTTGGGGTCATTCAGTGCTTCATGGAGGTATTCATAAAGTCTGAGCTTCTTACGACCTGAGGAGATGGAATTGGTCGTTTTAAAGATTTTTAAATTTTTAAATGAATAAGGTATGCTGAACACCTTAACCTGATTACCTGATTTGCTGTTCCTCTGTGGTGGTAAGATAGAGTAGAAATGAGGCGATTCATTGCAGTGCACAGAGTGACCCAAGGAAACCTCCGGGATGACCTGAGGCCAGGACTGCTGCTAAAAGAGAATCATTTCAAGTCAAAAATACGATTTTATATCTTAAACACAAATACAGATTTTTGTGCACAACTTACAGCCATGTCATTCCATTCGTAAACTGGAGTCGGTACATCAGACGGGTGTGTGACCAGGCAGCAGGAGATTTGACACTGCAGAGATTGCTGCTGCGAACCAAGAGTCTCATAATATGTGTACTCTGAAATGAAAGAAAATACACTAGATCAGATCATTGAAAGTGATACAATTAATTATACAGATTAAAGAAAAGAGAGGAAGATGTGGATTTATAAGCATAACGTTGTGCATTGAAAAATAAATTAAAATAAAATAGCAGAGGTTTGATAATCATTTCTAATTGCAGTAAATTATGCAACCATTCTCAGCTATTTTTACTGTACCTGAATTGTAATATGAATTGTTTGAATGCTGTTGAATCACATCAATTGCATCCTGGAAATGTTGGTTGATGTCGTTGTCCGTGGACGTCTGCAATAGATAGAAAGCCTTATTAGCACCCACAAATATCTAATCTTTAATCGTATTTTTTCTCGGAAAAAAAAAAAGTTAGATAATACAAGTCAAAGGCTTTAAAATGAGTGTAATGTAAAATGTATAGCATCCTATCAACTCACCATCTTGCATGTCTGAGTGTTGCCCTCGGTTCAGGTGCGCAGTGTGTGGACAGGTATATATATGTAGCAGACCTCCAATACCTGTTCACCGTTCAGCTTCATGAATAGGTAGAGGCCGGTCAATTTAAATTTGAACACTTCTTCTTTTTTGGAAAACAGACATTCGAGCATCACACAGTCCGTCATAGGGGAGATCACAATCTACCAACAACATAACCTCTTTTATTGCAACCGTGCACCAGGAATATCAAGAATTAGAGTCCTGACCGGAGAATTTGCATACGTCCGTGATATGAATCTAACATACACTCTATAATGTTTTTTTCTGTATATTGATATTGAAGATCATGGAATTGCAGGAAATGTTCCTCTGTGATGTTTTGTTTTCTATCATAAAGTGGATCAATGTAAATTTGCATAACATTTGAGCGTGCGGTGGGGCTTTTAAAATACAAATATTGCACATCCACTAACTTATAAATCAAAGGTGGTAAACATTGTTACTTAATTTCCATTTGAATTGTATGTTAAAATGTCTATCTTTTACGTTTTGCATATTGCATATTTCATCAGTAAATGTATTAAGATGCAGTATTTATCCTGCAATTATAGCATTAAGTTGCACAAAAAGAAATAAATGGATGGAAAATAGTAAAATATTAATTTAAAAGCAACATTAAAAATCACTTATATTCCTCACAAAGCCACACAAATAATATTGGATATTGCTAACAGGAACTTTTTTCCTGTCTTTACTTTATTACTTGTTTTATTGTTTTCTAGCTCATCATTTCAGAGACATTTTTTACTACGGCCTGATTCGTTTTTTTAAGAGATTGTTTATTGGCTGCCTCTTAAAGTTACTGTAAAAATAGTTTTGAGTCATTAAATCGACTTTTCATTAAAAAACAGGCTCACTATTCTTCACTCTACAGGTGTGTTAAGGCTCACTGTGCAGCTCAGGCCAAATCAAAAAAAAAAAAAGTATATATATATATGTTTGACTTGTTAACTTTTCAATTAACGAGAACGCCATAAACGCAGCTTCAGATAAAAATGATTGTAAAGGTTAATGGTTAATGATCTAGTGATCGCTGTTAAACTATAAGCCTGTTTTTCCCCTTATATAGCCAACACCCCTGTTCAAATAAACACAGGGCTTTTTGAGAAGTGCATTTCTCTCAGCCGTGGAGTTTTAAATATCAACTGACTTGCTCCTGAAGTTCCCCTTTCAGCCCCGTTATGTGTAGACGGCGGTGAGGCCTGAACGCCTACCTGTTAATGTTATATAGGTGTGTGTGGGTGCGTGCGTGTGTGTGTGTGTGTGTGTGTGTGTGTGTGTGTGTGTGTGTGTGTGTGTGTGTGTGTGTGTGTGTGTGTGTGTGTGTGTGTGTGTGTGTGTGTGTGTGTGTGTGTGTGTGTGTGTGTGTGTGTGTGTGTGTGTGTGTGTGTGTGAGCATGCAATTAAGCATGAGGGTAGATCATGTGTGTTTGTGTGTGTTTCCTGCCTGTGCAGCACGCTGATAAAAAACAAAGAACCACAGACTTACACACACACTCCTTCTGGCCCTTTGTCCATTCAGGGGGACATTTCTGTCAAATTAAATCCATAAATTTAAAGACCACAACCTTTCAGCTGCAGCTGAAGCCTGCCAGATGTTTGCTGCTACTGCTGCTGCTGCAGGCACTGTGAGAGCTGGCTCCATTAGATCTGTCTCTGGGGTTAGGGTTAGGTGTTGTAGGTGTTTTTTCCTTTTTAATATTGAATAGATCATGTTCTGTATTTACTTGCAAAGGTGTTGGATGCTTTTTTCCTTGGTTGACTTTTTGAAGTTCTTTCATGCCTGCTTTGCAAGGTGGGCTACCAGGGAGCCCCTCCTCTATTCTTTTCTATACCAGGGGTTTAACATGTCCCCTGAGACAAATCTAACACTGAAAAACTGATACGTTGACTTTAATTTGATGTATTAAGTCAACAGTTGTCACATAACTGTATTAGGTTAGTTGAAAGCAATAATAGTAAATAAAAAATAAAAACTATTAGGTTCAACTTAATATCATTGCTTTCAACTAACCTAATACAATTATGGGAAATCTGTTGACATAATACAATTAATTAAAGTCAACATTTCCTGTCATCTCCTACATTAACATGCTCAGTTTTGCTTGAATGAAGCACTAAGACCTTTGACATGTTGATGTTTTCAAAGCTGAAACAGCTTTTAAAAAGGCTAAAAATAAATTGAAAAAAAAACAAAAAACATTTAACATTATAATTTTATAAATTGTTGTATATTTAAACTATTCAAAGAGTTTTCAGAGTTTTTATCATCATTGTAGCCATTCTTGCATTACTCAATAAAGTGCATTTGTTGCTATGTGGTTAGGTGTTTGTGTGTTTGGAGAGAGAGATTCCTGTTTGTCTGTGAAGGTGGTACAGTATGTCTTTGTGACAGAGCAGACATGCTGTACATTTATCTTTTCAAACAGAGCAGCACTTTCCTTCCTCTTCTCAATTCAATAGTTGCGTGCATGTTGGCAGCGAGGTGGGAACGGCAGGCTAACCGCAGCACTGTCAACCCCATTGTTCTTCTTTATTTACTGGCACTCGACAAAATCAAGAAGTTTCAAACCCACTGGTATATAATTAGGCTATCGGGATAAACGCTGGTGTGACCACAGAGTTATAATCATTAGCTATGAGATCACGTTTGTGTCCTCGGGAGAAGCATCGGAAAAAAATAGATTAATAGTAGATTAAGACTGCTTCACTGTGTTTCTGCAGTTTTTTTAAATTAATATAATATAATCCCATTTAAACGTTTTATTCTTTTGCAGTGCAAACAAAATTGCAAATTTCACTTTTTTCTAAAAGGTTATATAAATCATAGAAATTGCATGATAGTTAGGGAAATAGAAGAATAGAGGTTTCTTTATTGATTCATTCTTAGTTTAATATATTTCCTGAAAAGTTGAAAGCTGAAATATTGCAGACTGTCCAGCAGACGGCAGGACAGGGCTCTAAAACGAACACATATCACATTTCACCCAAATTCCTGCCCTGAGGAGCACATTATCCGATGTCCAGATGCAGGCCTGGGGGTTTTAGAGACACCTTTTATAATGGACCTGCAGTCCAAGGTAGGATTGTTCCATCATTTTTCAAAAATGATAATATAGGTGATTTTTCTCCTTTTGCTCTATCCCTAAAATGCCAAGAAGCAGGTTCATTTTACAGTGAATTGAAGTTTTGGAAGTAACTAAGTAGTTTTGCTCAAGTACTGCAGTACAAGTCATTTGGAGTTTACTTTTCACGAATATTTTCCTTTGCAGGAGCACTCTAGAGTAATATGATGTAGCTTGGAGAGTCTAATTGAATCCCTCATGTTGTTTTCTGGTGAAGTAATAAGAGACACAATCACACAAAGAAACATCAAGTTCAAGTTTCAGGATTCTTTAAAATTCTACCTTCACATGATTTTACATCCAGGCTTACATGTTAGAGATCAGAGATCAATCGTATACAGAAAAACAAAGGCCATGAGCTGAGGTAGCACAAAACGAATCTGAAAAATCTAATTAATGTGTCTAATAATAACTACAATACAAAGAGTAAAATCCAGAACTCAGAGAGTTAAGTGGAATATTTTCATTTGGAATAGATTTACAAATTTGTGTTTAAAGGGTGATTCTAGTTCTACTTCCTACAGTAGGCCACAGCACCATAAGCCACTATCCCCACTACCGCGACCAGAGCTGCGCCTCCACACAGCAGCTCCGTGGAGCTCAGAGGGGTGCGAGTCTCTGGCGCAGCGGGCAGGGGGGGCTCCGGCTTTTCTGGTGCTGCTTCAGAGGCTTTGGCTGAATGTCCCTCCACATCCGACAGGGGAATCTGTGAGTATCGTAGCTGCTCATGACTCTCTGATAGAGACTCTGCTGCCATACGTGCCAGGATAGAAGGAGGTTGGAGCCCCTGAGTGGGGTAGAGCTCCTCGGCTTCAGAGCTTGTGGTTGAAGGGACCGGGGTGGAGGTAGTGGAGGGGGGGTCGAACTTGACAATAGGCAGAGGAGGCAGCGCCATGGGGGGAACCACCTGCATGAACTCTGCCGGCTCCTTTCTCTTGTGCGGCTCCTCCGCTGACACCAGGAGCCCCTCGGTTTCCGGGGCGATGAGGTCCTGCTCCTCCTCTCTGAGCTCCACCAGCTCCCTCTCCCCACCTAAGACACTCATCACGCTCGTCTGCAGCTCGTCGTCGTCTTCCTCCTCCTCTGTCCTCCTCACCGCCTCCTCCTTCTCTGCCTCCTCGAGCATCTCCGCCTCCTCTCGCTCTAGGTGGACCATGTCAGAGTTGGAGGAGTGGTTCTCCTCTCCGCCCAGCCCCTGGTCATCATTGCTGTCCAGGCTCTTGGTGTCCTCAGGGTCTGCATCGCCCACCGTGGACCAGGACTCTGCCAGCAGGCTCTCGCTCTGCCAGGGGGCCAAAGTCTCTGCGTGGGTCAGAGGCAGAGCAGCAAAGGTGGGGCTGAGGGAACCAGACTCCCCATCTCCTCCATCCCCTCTGCTGGACTCGACTGGGGCCTTTCCCTCCAGAATGAAGATCGGCTGCTGCAGAGACAAAATAGATCTTCAGAGGGGGAACTTTCAGTTTACTTCAGTTTCAGTGTGTGGGATTTGAATATCCCTTTCTTTACTGCAGTAAGGAGCCACCGCATGGACACCCATGTACACTAACGCCATTGCCTCTTTCAGGACTACCGCCTCGCTCAACTCATAAAATACTAGTTATCAATATTGATAACCACATTCAGAAGGGACAACACAATTCAGAAGGCTTCTTCAGAACCACAGTGGCCTTTTTGCTACGTTAAAACTTGAAAGGCCATATGTATTGACAGTGTTTATTTTGTCCTTAGAGATATATCATTTATTAATCCCAAATTGGGAAATTATTTTGTTACAGGACCAGTGTGCTCAACATTAAAATACAAATACTTAAAAAGTGGAATAGAGTTAACAATTACAAATAAAATGAAAATCTAAAATAGTATATCAAATATAAACAATATTTAAAAAAAGCTACTGTAGAAACATGACAGTGCAACATAACCCAACCTTTTGTTTAAAGTTGTTTTAACACTAATGTAAACATAGCACTTATATTTCATGATGTCATGTCAAGTGACTCAAGTCCACATTTCTTAAACATGTTATGTTTTAATTCAATCACATGTACATCATTAGTACTCTTGATAATGTAATTAGTACATTATGAAAATCTCTGACTTCAAATTGATGCAACAAAATAAATTGTGGCTGACAGCAAGGCATGATATGACACAGAGAACCCAACACAAATACTGAACTAAAGAGTGATAAATGTTTCAGCATAACTAGTATTTCTCCTCACAGTGGCTTTAGTAAATAATGATCTGCAACATGCTTACTTCAACAGGTCACTGTTCTCAGTGACATCAGTGACGCTGTGGTTGGAAAAAGTTGCTCACCGACTGCTCTGTATTGCAGCGGCTGTGACTATCTATAGCCTCGACCTGCATATCTTACTATGTTTAGGCACTATATACATCTCCATCTGTCACCCAAGAGTGGAAGCTATTCCAGTGATTTTACATTACGTGAGAATCCTACAAGTAGGAGCACAGCGTGGGAGTGACATATTATTGACTGTCTGAAACACCAAAATTCAAGCAGCCCAACACATTCTTAACAATACTTTGATAACAACATTTGATGTCAACTTAATACAATTTCTGATGAAATTTGACCACTCTTGTGTTTTTTTGTTTCTCAAGGTGACCCTCCTCTCCCCTTGTGTCACGTCTCAGCTTTGATTGCATGCAGCATTTGCCCCCATGCCACCCCAGAATAGATACTCTTGCTCTTCACTGTATGTTTGCTCTGGTTTCAGACCAACTCTCATTACAGAGGTCAGGTGTGAGCCCTCTGAGGTATTAGAGATATATCTCCTGAGACATAGTTCCAGATGAGATTGGTTTTGGATTGGATCTAAATATGTAAGAACCTGTATCTTAATGTCATTTCTGGAATACGTTTTCAGTACCTCAATCAGTCCAATTTTTTAAGCTTCACCCAGTGTTGTTGTAGCCAGAAATATTATTGGTTTTATTCAGATGTTAGATTGTGATAGAAGGCTTTATCACGTGACTTTGTTTTTCTGATTATTGCCTAAATAATGTGGGCAATTTAACTTTTTGTAAACAAGAATAATCGATAAGAGTAGTGTTTCCAAAAAAAAATACAATAATGTATCACAAAACAGGATCCTGCTTAAAAAGAGATGCATTCAAGAAATCCAATGCTCCCTTTTCCTTTGTTAGACCCTAATTATGTTTGTTTCAAAATCTAAGGTTAAGAGTTAGTTTATCCAATCTTTAAACTCTTCCCCAATCCACAACTATTATTATGTGTAATAAAAGTCCTATCAATATATAAAGTGTGTTCTTACATTCATGATTTGTATTACTTTCTGTTATTGCCTTATTCCCGTGCATTCCCAGACTAAAACACTATTTGTTGCCTCACAGTGGAAAGCAAACCCCTTCCTTCCTTCCTGTTGCAACAGCTTGGTTACTTTTTGTGCAATAAAACCTTCTGAAACTGAGTCTAGCAGTTGGACAAAATCAATAAAAACAAGCTCCTTTTGCCTTGAATAAACATTTCCAGTACACAGTGACGACTTAAAGAGCTAAATGACCTGATTATGAATGCTCAGTTTTGTGTTAAAGCTTTTGTTGTTGTATTCATGATGAGGATATTTTGTATGGTCTCATACTCTCATGACTTAAATCCTTTGATGTTGGCTCCACCTCTTCCAGAGTGAGCAGACTGTGAGAGACACCCCCCTGTCGTCACCCATTTAATGACCAACAGCGGCCATATTGTCTGACCCAAGCTGTGTGCCCTGTAGACCTGAAACATTAAAGTTGGTCACCCAAACATTTGAAACGTTCACAAACAGAGTCTCTCCTGTGTCCCTGCATGCACTGAAACCAATCAACCCTTTCTCCTCGGTGACCCTTCTTTTGCTTACTGGCCTACTTGAGTAATTGGATTTCCATTGATCCTATCCTAGCAATAACAGACTCATGGTGAAGTAAATAATCAAGAAGATTTTTAGGCACTGTATATGTGCTAAAGTGAGATGAGGACAGAGGGATATCAGATAAAATAATTTACAAAAGGTCAGCTGTCAATGTCAAAGTGCAGGATCTTGTTGAGATAAAACAAACTAGCCTCTCATGTTAGCTTCTTTGCATTGTGCAAGGTGAAGTTTTGTCCTTCAAAACATTAGTGACCTGTAATGACCCTTGACATGTTTACAGATGACACACTTTTAACAAAGCCTGACAAGCAAAGGAGAAATCAGATCACGTTCAGATCAGTGTATGCATTCAACTTTCTTTCTTCTGATTTCAGACTTTGCTAAAACGTTCTGCAATGTAAATAAAAACAGCATACCTGTGTCTTCTTGGTGACGGTGGTGAACGAGATGCTAAATGAGAAGCAGACACTGGAGATCAAAGTGAGACGTGCATTCAGACACGAAGCCACACAATAACAGATAGGCAGACATGCATGCTGGAGCTGGCACAGGACTAACAAGATGGACAAGCTGTGCAAAAGTCTCTCCCCCTCCCTCTCCCCCTATCAGTCTCTCTCTCTCTCACCCACCCCACTACCCAAATCTATGACATAACAGTTGGCTGGAGAGCAGGCAGTAGTGACTTTGCTGGCTGCTCAGAATGAAAAAGATTAGGAAAATGCAGGTAAAAGGTGAAAAATGATTTGAATGTTTCAATCAGACTTTACCCTGTGAGTTCACAGTCTCTGGAGGGTCTGAAGAGATCAGTGGGTGAGTGTTTTATTCTGGTAAACAAGCCTCTGGAGTTTTATGTCCACTGTCCAAACAGCATATTATCAGTCAGTCCACAGTGTGCTGCTGTGACACCAAGTGGAAAACGCATGCCAGACGAGGAGGAGAAGAGCTATTTCTAAAGCTGAACTTTCCATATTCTACTTCCCTCTGCTGGTGAGAGGTGTTACAAGAATGGAAACTATGCCAGGGGAGGCTTTTAAATGGTACACCTGCATGGCAACATGTACAAGATTGTAAAACAATGAAATAATCAAATACAAGAGACTAACACTACATTTAAATTGATTACATTTAAATGAAGTACATATTTAATATTTTAAATATATGCAATGCATTGTCAGTAAATTAGCTATACAAATGACAAATAGTACAGAATATAGCTGATAAAAAATTACATAACTTAAAGGAAACAACATGATACACATTGAGTAAAAGTTTACAGGGGAAAGTGTATAACTAAAACAATTTAAAAAAGAGACAGGTGTATATAACAAAAGACAAAAAAATAAAAATAAATGTTTAGTGACTTGACAGCCTCTGTATTAGTCGAATAAGAACATACTTTCACATAATTACTCAACTTTGTTGAGGAAAAAAGAACTTGTTTTATTTTTGAATGTTCGTGTCTGTATAATCATTGCTGTTCCTATATTATTAGTAATGGTACTATACAAACTTACAAATGTATGCGACGTATTTTTTTGTTCTTTTATCAAAAAACACCACATAATTTTCCTGCTTTCTGCAGCAGGTTAAACGCGTCTCTTATTCTCTCACGTGATTGGCTGCTCGACCGGAAGTAAATATCATGTGACGACGCCAATCAGCTGATCCTCCGTAGACATCTTTACGAGTCACGACTGCAGCGATTTAATTCATACCTCCTCGTCTGTGATTTTTGGGTAAATATACACGGATTTAAGGCTCTCATTACATTGTTAACATACCCTTGTTATCAATCATGCTTTGTTTTATTTTTCGGCGGTTTTAATTATTGTATTTTTTTGTTAATTCTGCTCGCAGGCCTGCACGGACCTCTGACAGCTGCAGCCATGGCGCTTAGCGATGCCGACGTTCAGAAGCAGGTAATAAACCTTTTTATCCTTCAATACTGTCACCATCCACCTGTTTCTCTTTGGTCGATGCTAGAGCAGTTTCACGTTGCTAATCGTCTCATTAACACACTGAAATGTTTCTAGTAGCTGCAATACACAGTGTGTGCAACAGAATGACATTGAGATAGCTGCAGGAGGTTAGCATTGATATAAACCCTAACCATACACAATGCGATGATTGAGGGTGTGTTTGAATGGAGGGTTTATACGTAAATATGCGTGTTATAGCTAAATAAGCAACCATTTTGAAGCCTGTGCTGGGTCGTATCGTATGGGTGATATTTAGAGGTTCATATTACTGGATGATCACATGATCAGCAGATGATGAGGAACTAGGAGTGAGTGAGCCACAGTCTGGACTCTTTACTGGAAATAACCTCCATATGAGCAAATGCAATGCTGCTGAAGCTAACTGTACACAAGTTAAGGTCAAGTGTTCATTGGTGGTTAACATAAACTATGAATTTAATGAGGTACCCAGTAATTGTATTTGAGAACTTGAGTATGTTCTTTTAATGCACCTTATACTAATGATCCACTACATCCCAGAGACAAATATTTGTATTTTCTCAACAAAAGTTGCCAGCTTTACTTTTTTATGTCCGATTACAATTCCATGTACCCTTTTTTTTTACCCTAAACTGAAGCATAATGTGTTCCTTTGAACATCTACAGGAGTCATATGCAACACACACATTCATGTAGCAAACATGTACTTCATAAACATCTTATAAAGACTACCAACAACATGGAGCCTTTAACTGCTCAAACTTCAAGTACTATTCGCACATCTTCCCAAAATATACTTCTGCTTAATTCAGGTTTCAAATGCAGAACTTATGATTTAAGAGTAGTATTTTCACACTGTGGTTTATGTTTTTTTACTTGAGTAAATACTTCTAATACTTCTTACACGGCTGGCAGAGACATTCCTCACCAGTGTTCTAAAGTAAGACGACAGAGTCGCTTCACAGCAGGGTGACGATCACCTCTGAGTTCATTAAGAGAGAGATGACAATTTGCAGTTAGTTCCTAAGACTGAATGTTCATTATGAAACCGTGTGCGTTTAAATCCATAACACATGTTATGAATCTATATCTTTTTTGTTGAGGAAGCCTGATCGTATTAATATATGTCTTGCTCCTGTGTACAGATCAAGCACATGATGGCCTTCATTGAACAGGAGGCCAACGAGAAGGCAGAGGAAATTGATGCAAAGGTAAAATCACACAGTGCTGTGGAGAGAAGCCCCAAGGGATGATTAATAATCCCTTCCTTTTTTAAATCGTATTCTTTTGGACATGTTGTGCTTTTATTAATGAGTCAGCAGTAGAGAGCTGACAGGAAGTGAGAGGAGAGAAAAGCTGAAAATAATGAACTAATTCTTGTCAGCATAAACATGTATCTTTAGTCTAGATTTGATCACATTTGGGCCTGTAATGTAGCAGTTATGGCCTTTTTTAAATCTATTCGAAATGCACTGTTGTGCTGTGCACTCATCTGACTGAGTTTAGATTCAGTTTTCATGTATTTACAGGTGTTGTTGTTAACACAATATTAAAATGTATATTATAAGCACAGACAAACACACAAGGATGCATAACATCAGACAATTAGCATACATAATTAAAGACATTGATTCTACAATAAAAATAAGTTTACAAGTTTTAAAATGCATGAATCCTATCCATGTGTTCCTTTGTGATGCTTACCACTAGGGGCGCTAAGAGCACACAAAGTATTACATTACACATTATAAACAACAGTTTGATTTAAAACATTTAAAAATCACTGTTTTTAATTCTTTGATATAACGATATGCTCTTTTTCTCTATTTAAAAAAAAAGAATAACATTTGACATTTTTAGGTTTTGTCTTGTTATGCATAAAAAGTGTCTTTTTTATTTTAATAAAACTACATTTATTTCACAATGTTATGCCATATTTATAGCTCCAAAGGTAATAGCCTTTCATATTCTGACGTGTACTCTTTTTTTATTGTGTAATACGCATGTCTCTCATATCACAAATACACCAGCAGAACTGATTATTGGTTAAAGATCACAGAAACAGAAAGATATAACTATGTCTCCTCCTGCAGGCAGAAGAGGAGTTCAACATTGAGAAGGGCCGTCTGGTCCAAACCCAGAGGCTGAAGATCATGGAGTACTACGAGAAGAAGGAGAAGCAGATCGAGCAGCAGAAGAAAATGTGAGTCAAAGCGAGACACATCAAAGGACACATCCAGTCCTCTTCCCTTTTTAAGGACAAAGAAATATCTGTCCGTGTGACACAGAGTTTCCGGGATTTGATTCAATCACTTTATCCTACCTACAATGATGCTTTTGTGACCTGGCCCAAAACAGTCTTAGGGTTTTCCGCACAGCAACAAAAAATCCCTCACAAGTCTAAACAGACCCAATGTGTTTGCTATTTGTCTAATTAACAGTCAGATGTCAAACCTGATGAACCAGGCTCGCCTGAAGGTGCTGAAGGCCCGGGACGATATGATCTCGGTAAGCAGTTATAACTCAGGCTGTGCATACAGAGGAGAGACTGATCGTGTAAGTGCACCATATGTGAATAATAGGAACCCCGTGTGTATTTATGTCCTCAGGAAATGCTGAACGAGGCCCGCCAACGGCTCGGGAACATCGCAAAAGACCCAGCCAGGTATCCAGCTCTGATGGACGGCTTGATCCTACAGGTGGGTTTATCCTCTCAGATTCTTTACACACAAGTACACCAACTACCTTAATGTATTCTAATACAAACGCCCTGCAATAAATCCTTCCTTCCTAAAGGTCACAATGTTCAGTTTTGATTATGTCTCGATTCAATTGTTATAATAATAATAAAGCTTTATTTATAGCACTTTTCATACAACACATGGAGCTCAAAGTGCTTTACAAAATGACATATCACAAGTTAAAAATAAACAACAAGAAATTCCCCTCAGATTATTTGTTAAGAGCTTTAGGTACATGCAGCAAAATACAACATGTGATCAGGTTAATAGACACAAGGAGGTAAAAGGTATGATAATACAAATAAAATAAATAATGGTTTCTCTCCGACAGATAAGACACAAGACAACCGAATCGATGCAACAATATAAAACCCCATAAAACAAAGTGAACATATAGGTACAACAGAAATACAAATAAAAAGATAATAGTAATAAAAATGCCATAATTCTAATAAAGGTGAAACAATTAAGAAATAAAAAAGACCAACGTAAAAATAAATATTGCTATTGAAGCATTTTAGATTAATAATATAAGATAAAATCCTTCTGACCTATAACACAATATAAAGGTAGGTAAATAATAAAGACTAAAAGAACATTTTAAAGTGGGGGATTGCTAATAAAAAGCTTGTTGTGTTTTTTTGCTGACAGACAGGTGTTTCTGCTATTTTGTCCACCCCATTGACATCAATGAAGGCACTCGATAGTCATTACAGGGGCACAAACTGCCTCCTGCATATTCATTTAAGGCTTTCTCAACATCTCTCAACAGCATCTGAGTACAGGGAGGATGTATTGCAGAATGGTTGTATCAGACTGTATGAGTGTGTCTGATTGAGTGTGTATGTTTATGAAGAGGCTGTTTTGAGATTTTAAAAACAGAGGTTTGATGATCTTTTCATAATCTTTTTCGTACCAGGGATTGTATCAGCTCCTGGAGCCCAAAGTGACGATTCGCTGCCGTAAACAGGACGTGCAGATGGTACAGGTGAGTCCGTTAGGTTAGAGAGTTCAAGTTGTTTATTTGATCACAACTATTTGATGTTCCTGCTCTTAAAATCAGTTCTGAATCTAAATTGTGTTGTGACTTTTTGCCGTCCAGGCTTCCATCCAGAGGAATATTCCTATTTATAAATCCGCTGTGAAGATCAACATCGAGGTCCGCATCGACCAGGACAACTTCATCCCCCCCGACGTGTAAGCATCACATTTCATCATCAAGTTGAAATGACCCCTGAAACTTTCTTTTGCATCATATTATTCAATATTGAGATCTCAATTATTTAACAGTAGAACTGCATACAATGAATCAGTTAATAGAAAAGTAATAGCCCATTATTTTATAATAAAAAAGTAATTTAACACATTTTATGGGCAAAAGTCAGAAAATGTTGTTTTTAGCCTCTACATTTCAAGATTTTCAGTTTATTTTCTGATTCATATCATATTAAACTCAATATCTTTGGGATCATCCATTTAATTACATCATCTTGGACTGGACATTTTCTACTATTTTCCGACATTTAATAAACCAATTGATTAATCTATAAAGTAATCTGCAGATCAATCCATAATACAAAATAGCTGTTACTTGCAGGGCTATTTAACACCTTCCTCATTGAGAACCGCGCATTAAGAAGTCATGCAGGCTTCATTCCTCTCTGTCTGTTGGGACCTTTATGTGCAGGGCTGCACATAATTGGTGCGCAGGTGCGCATGCGCACCTCCGCCAAAAAACGAGCACCGGGTCATTTGAAAAAAGGCGCATTTGCGTACCAACATTGAGGGAGAAGGGAGAAGAGAGGAGAGAGAGGGAGAGAGAGAGAGATATTTGCAAGTTGCATATGAACTCAGGGCCGGCCCGTAGCACTGGCGTTATAGATGTTCCCCCTGGGGCGCCATCTGGGGAGGCGCTGCGCTGGTAGCTCTGGGAGGAAAAAGAACATTTTTGACCGTTGGGGCTCATCCTAATTTTCAGCCTTGATGTAACAATATTCATAATTAAGTAAATGTAACACCCTTTTCTCCCCGGTTACACGTTTCATTTGCCCTGTACAATGGGTGCTGTAAGTGATGAAAATGGGGGATGTTGGCTTATCTGGCGCCCGCAGCTCACAGCCAAAATGCGAGTGAGCGTGGGAGAGAGAGAGGGTGCACCGGTACCGGTGCTGTTATTAGAATCTGGTGCTAGCTGCTCTAACGGATATAAGAAGAAGATGTTTCTACAATAATGTGGAGGGAGAGTCCTCTCCAGTCAGACTGAGAGGATGATAACTACAGCTCAGTGAGGTAAAGGATTCTGAGTGTTTAGATAGTTAACTTTAGTCTAAGTTCAAACGGTTTGGTCACAATTTATGTAAACACATATTTCCAAGGCACTCCTTTATAATTATTGGGATAAACAGGTTTGAAATCATTCCAATGTATACTATAGGACAGTAACCAAAAATATCCTTTAAAAACTGGAGAGATAAAAAAAATGACATAAATAAATGTTAAGGTAAAATAAGATATGAATGAACAACGCAAATAAAATAAGTTACATTTATTTGTTATTGGCTATGGTAGGTTATTGGTTATGTTCACATACTTATTTGATTACATCCACTTGTCTAAGATGACAACAGAGACTTTNGTGTGTCTACTAGGGGCAGTGCTGGTTGTAAAGTCTGACCGCTGCAGGAAGGAAGGACCTGCGGTATCTCTCCGTGTGACCTGTCGCTGAAGGTGCTGCACAGTGAGGACAGGGTGTCCTGGAGGGGGTGGGACATATTGTCCAGCAGGGAGGACAGCTTGGCTGCCATTATCCTGTCTCCCACCACCTCCACAGTGTCTAGAGGACTCCCCAGGACAGAGCTGGCCTTCCTTACCAGTCTGTTCAGTCTCTTCCTGTCAGCAGCCGAGATGCTGCTGCCCCAGCAGGCCACACCATAGAAAATAGCTGATCCCACAACAGAGTCAAAGAAGGTCTGGAGGAGTGCCCCGTGAACCCCGAAAGACCTCAGTCTCCTCAGCAGAAAGAGTCTGCTCTTTCCCTTCTTGTACAGAGCAGCATAATTATCAGTCCAGTCCAGTTTATTGTTCAGATGAACACCCAGGTATTTGTAAGATTTCACAATCTCAATGTCTGCTCCCTGGATGTTCACTGGTTCATTACCATAGTAACAAACAGACACATAAATAGGAACACAAGATAAAAGCTTGTGTTCACCACTGTGAATGTCGTCTATTCAACACAACAGAAAAAGGAATATCAATGTTGAAAATGGAGTAAACGGATTGTAAAACCTAAGGTCAATTGGGTGTATTGGACAACTACCCTTCTTAAAGACTTAGATATATTCTTCACATTTGTCTGAAACGACTCCTTCTCACTTCAGTAACATAGTGACATCACTATGTAACACTCCTGCTTCAATTGGCTAGCTCTTCAACGCATTAGACTTGATAGGCTAAGGGGCGGGACATCTCTAAGCAGTTGACCAATCACAACAGAGCCGGCCAGCTGACCAATCAGAGCAGACAGGGCTCTGGTTTCAGACAGAGGGGGAAAAGAGGTGCTGCAGCACAGGCAGTATGAGAAAAATAAAGAGCTTTTTGAACATTAAAGCATGGAGACATGTCATAAGAGGCACAACATACTAATATGAAATCGAAATGGGTGAGCTAAGAAAGTAATTGATGTCAATGCTCTTATACTACTGCTATCAATACCGATAATATGGCTCTGGAGCTAGGGATCAGGTGTAAATAAAGCAACACACACCCGGGAGAGGCCGCTCCTCAGCTCCAGATACATGATGTTGTCTTGCAGCAGCTCCTCCAGGCCTCTATAGAAGTAATCCTTCAACACGGGCGCGTGGCTGATGAGCCCCGCACCAGCGATGAAGGCTTTCTCTAACTTCTCCCACACAACCTCTTGGCTCGGATACTCCCCGTCCGGGTCATCAGTGAACAGTGTGAGGTGCTGCATTAAACTGAAACACACCCCAAACAGATCATCTGGGTTACTTTCTCCCAATATAGAGTTCTTTCAAAGGCTTTTTTATCGATTCCATTCAAATATGTTGCTTTTTCTGAACATTCCTGTCACAATAAATAACGCAAAAAAACAACAACATACAAGTGACAACAAAAGATTAAAAACATTTTGAAATAGAAACTCAATGATGGACAAGAAAAAACACCAATAATAGAGAAGAAAATATAAACAAAAGAAAGAAAATATATCAATTTAAATAAAACTAAATTAAATAAGATGAAATAAAAATCAAATTAAAATACATTAAATAAGATAAAATAAAAATATAATAAAAATACATTAAATAAGATGAAATAAAAATATAATACGAATACATTAAATAAGATGAAATAAAAATACAATATAAATATATTAAATACGATAAAAATAAAAATATGTTAAATAAGATTAAATGCAAATACAATAATAATACATTAAATAAGATTAAAATAAAAATACAATAAAAATACATTAAATGAGATTAAATAAAATACATTAAATAAGATGAAATCAAAATCAACTCAAATTGAATACCTTGTCCTGAAATGTGTAAGGTAAGCTCATGTATTACTCAACCTGTTATCAAAGCCTTCTGTGTTTCCTATCTTGGCTCTCAAGGTCTCCAGCAGCTGCCAGTAGAAGCAGTCCCACCGTGGGAAGGGCTGGCGGTCGGAGAACAAGAAGCGCACCGAGTTGTCCCAGGTGAAGCAGATGTAGCAGTGCGGCCTGTAGGTGATGTTTTTCACCAGCCATTCAACACCAACCAGAGAGGAGGTGTGGATGTGGAGCGCTGCACCTGGCACAGAAACACCAAGAAGGTACTTCAAACTCACACTGAGGGGCTGAGCTACGACAGGGCTGTTTATTTGCATCTTTTAAGTCATTTTGCGTTTTTTGCCTAATGTTGTAATTGGTTTTGGCATTTTATTTTTTGTCTTTTTGCAGTCATTTTATGAGCAGGCTTGCTGTATGTCATTCCAAAAAGAAAGCAATACTCTGTGTGAGACATTATGCACTAATGATATTACAGTCCTTTTACCTCAGACTAACGGTCGTGTGGTTTAGAGTCATTTTTGGTATCATTTTGTAATCTTCTTTTGCATTATGTTGCAGTTGTATAGTTCTCTTGTGTAGTTTTTGTGTCTTTTTACATCTCATTGTTGAATTTTTCTTCTGTCTCCTCATCAACATTTTGTATATTTGTAGTCATGTCTGTGTCTTTGAAGTAAATCTTTGTAAATTGGTAGTAAAAACTAATTCCGAGATGTTATTTTGTGTCTCAATTAGTCACATTTTGCGTGTTAAGAATAACTATGTGCTCCTATTGGTTGAAAAACAATATGTAGTTCCTGTTAGAGATGAAGAGAGACTCATGTCAAAACTTCCTGCCACAACAAATATAAGAAAATTGTGAAAATTAAACAAAATATTACAGGAAATCGTCAAAAGAAGTAGGTTTTAACTTCTTAAAACCGTGCTTTTTTCCTCAAACTGATTTAAGATGTATCTATTAAACTCTATTCAAGTTATGGTACGTTAATGACATGTTACTCTAGCCTCTGTACGCTGTGCAGCTTTAACATGAAACGGTAAAGAAAACACACATTGTGAGATTACCTTTGGGCATGTCCTGCAGTAGTTTGAAGATCGGACTCTTCTGGATGAGAGGCTTTGCTTTGAAGAAGTGGACAGCGGGGGGGAACAGTGCTGCAGACATTTCCTGCACCTTTAACTGATGGAGGTGGAGGTCCAGCATCTGCTCGGCCTCCGTCAGCACCACCCGGCCCCCCGTCTGCCGGGACGCCTCTTGACGCATCAGCAGGTCCCTCTGAGCGGGGTCCGGGAACCCCTCACTCAGCCTCACAAACCACAGCAGCGACACATAAGTGACCACAACCTGGAAGATGGACATCACCATGTCCTCGGGGGCCACAGGAGGAAGCAAGAATATGAGCACACCCCCGCAACAAGAGCAAGCTGAAAAGCTGTAAAGAAAGAAATACTGTGAGACTTTACGAACTAATGACATTAAATACCTTTTACGTGGGACGAGAGGTTGTGTGTTTTCCTTTTGCCACATAGCGGGTTAAAAAAAAAGTTGTTATGTCATCAAAGTGATAACATGCTGCTCAGCCTGCATTACGGACCTGAAAGAGCCTATTCTACATTAAGAACATGGCAAAAAGAAAAGTCAAGGATGGAACTAAAACTTTCAAAGTAAATCTATCCAGTCTAAAAAGTTAAATACTTGCAAGTAGGAGGGAGCTTCTGGGGTCCTGCGTCTCAGCTCAGCCGTCCCAGAAAAAGACTCCTCTATGAGTGGAGCATGTCAGCAGAATACTCTGAGCCACAGGATAATTGGGGGCATTTTTGTCTGACAAATACCATGTGATAAACTAATGAATGAAGCATGATTGCAAATGCATGTCAAAAAACTGACATTGACTGAAGAAAATTAAATAAATAATGAGCACAGACGTGGGACTAATGATTTATAATTGTATTTCATTTAACATTTCCACAATATAACATCTTTAGTTTAAGACAAAAAAAGACAAAACAACAACCACACATAATTTAATCAGGATACATCATATTCACACAGTGGACCCTCTGGAATGATATCAGCCACTCGTTTAATTCATGACAGAACACCAATAAATTAACTCTGTAACGTCGTGTACGGCCCTCAGCGTTGCTTCCAGGATGCCATTTACTTTCTCAGTAATTTGTTGGAGCAGACATCCATTAGCAACACAATGCCCCATGCAACTTATAACACGTGGGGTAGAGGTTACCGAAACCGTGACACGAAAGCTGTGCTTGTCATGATCCAATTAGAGGACAAAGGGGAGCAGCGGAGTAAACAACTGTGCAGTACCCACAATGCACGTCTGTAATGTTGAGCTGCAGCGTCTATATTGTCCCTTAATGCACAGAAAAATACAGCAATACATCACACAACAATATCTTTTGCATCGTAGATTTGTTTTCACAGACAAAGGAATGACGTCTTTCTTGTGACAAAAGAAGAAATACAAAATAACAAGGAGAGATTTTCTCGAACACAGCGGAGCCATTTAGTCCAAAAACTTGCGGTTGGGGTTAACGCCGAAGAGAGACACTCGGACTTCAGGCATCATCTGAAACACAGACACACGGATTATCGTAAGCAGGAGGCAACTAAAGATTTATTCGCTGATTTTTCCCCAAATCATTGATTGGTCAAAAAATATATTGAAAAATAGTGCCCCAAATATTTTCCTAATACCTGAGAGGACAAAATTGTCAAGTCTAAAACCAATAGATATACATAGGGATGGGTATCGTTCAGATTTTAACCGTACTACTACTCTTACACTGAACAAAAATATAAATGCGACACTTTTGTTTTTGCTCCCATTTTTCATGAGATGAACTCAAAGATCTAAAACATTTTCTATATACACAAAATAACCATTTCTCTCAAATATTGTTCACAAATCTGAAAAAATCTGTGATAGTGAGCACTTCTCCTTTGCCGAGGTAATCCATCCCACCTCACAGGTGTGGCATATCAAGATGCTGATTAGACAGCATGATTATTGCACAGGTGTGCCTTAGGCTGGCCACAATAAAAGGCCACTCTGAAACGGGCAGTTTTGCTTTATTGGGGGGGGTCTGGGGGGGTCCGAAAACCAGTCAGTATCTGGTGTGAGGGTTACGGTACGTCTACACTACAGGCATCAAAAAATGCTTTCAACGCTTCGCCCATTCACTTGAATGGGGTGACGTAGAAGATTTTTAATCTTTGCCGAACTGCATTGTGGGGAGCATGGCATGGCTTTGCAAGCATCACGAGCATCTATCGGCATCAAAAGTTGAACAATGTTCAGCTTTTGAGGCTCGATGCTTGGCATCAGCCAATCAAATCCCGTTTATGCAAATCCCGCCAGTGCAAGCGCAGCCAATCAAACCGCGTGCAAGCTGGAAGAGACAGACCGCAGTTCATTTCCTCATATTCCAAACGAGATATTACGGTAGCAAATCACCCGGTTCTTTACGACCAGAACTATTTACCGGGATACAAACCGGAGGAACCAGGCATGGAGGGAGGTGGCAGAGACAGTGGGTGAAACTGGTAGGTTCTCGCCTGTTTGGGGAGTTTATATATATATATATTGCTCGCATAAAATCCCCGGGGTTTTTTGCTTTGTATGCCGGGAGCGGGAGATTCATGTGATTGGTTGTTGGTCGCGTTGCTCGTGAAAAATTCCCAAGTTCTCAGACACGCCCAGCTTCAAGATTTTCAAGATTTAAAAGTAAGGAGGGGGGGGGAAGTTTTTGGACGTAATTATTTGGGAAGAACAGTTCAAAGTAAGATCGAAATGAATGAAATAATAATAATTAGGGGAGAAATTAAGGTAAAGTACAACTTTTATAGAACAGAGGATGGCACAGTAGTGTAAGTGAACGAATTAAAGTTGATTGAAGCACTATATTGCGGGCGATTAAGAGAGAATAGTCATTCTGAGAAGGTTTACATTGTGGGTGTGAAAATTAAACAAATATCTGATAGATAAGTAAAGAAAGATAAATAAAACTCTGTGTAGATCTTTTGCTGAAATGCAATTCCGTTGAACGAGGAAACGAAAATGTCACTTTGTATGTGCGAGGACAGGAAACCGAGATTAGGTTGACGAGTATAGAAGGGAATAATAAATCGATCACTCAAAGAAGAGACCGATGTTGTTTCCAGTTTATTTATGTGAGTTACACGGAAAAAATAACGAAACTTAAAGGTAAACTTTACTCGCCTACACCAACAATTCGTCCGTAAACTTGGTTTTACTGTAATCGGCATCGAGAGTGCAATGTTCGAAATGCAGAGTAATGTACTCTTTGTTGTTCACCTGGGTACCACAGTGTGTTCAACCGCTCACTGTGTTTACAAAATACCTACTTATACAGACAATAGTAGAGTAAATAGAATACTCATGAAAATTTTAGCAGAATAGTGTGTGTAAGTTCAAATGTAAATACATCGTTGAATAATTAACAAAAATTGCTATATTAACTTTCGTGCAAATCGAATGTGAATGTTGAAGACTCGAAACACAGGTATAAAAATACAACCCATCAGAATGAGTATACCAGAGGATTTTACAAGGGATCGACGATAAGAATTTGGATCCATCGATAGTCCCTACCCATGGTGGACTTTGGGTCATAATTTGCCCGAGCCCCGATGGTAAAAATTTCTGGCCACCATAGGCTATTCGAGTTGCCATAGACCAAGTCAATAGTCATGACACCACTTTAATTTTTATATATATAAAGCTTCGAAGGTATAAATGGATAACGATGAAGTTACAATAATTTGTGTGAGTTGAGTTAGTTGAGTTACAAATAAAATATATCGGTTATAGTGTTTACAATGTAAACAGGAGGCACCTGAAGTTCAAACCATGTCTTTATAGTGCATACTGAATTCATATTGAACTTTATATGTAATAAAGTGTGAGAAGTGAGTAATCTCTTCCAACCCTCTCTCATGGAGTCTTAGGAACATGAATTCATTTTTTCAAGGTCTGTACATCGCTTATGGGACAATCTGCGACTTTCCACACGGAATCCGATCGGTGTAGTTTTCCGGTGAATACTTTGCAGGCGTGAAAACGAAATAAGCCCCCCAGACCCCCCCAGGGGGCTTTTGGCAGGGTCCATAGACCACACTTCCAATCTAATTCTCCAATGCGCAATCCCATTACACACTTAGTCTCACCGGACACAAGTAGCAGGTATTGTGATGCGACGGGTATGGTTAGTAGGGTTGGTGGTACCCGGTGAGGCTAAGTGTTTATTGGGATTGGGATTGCCGGGCANAAATCAATATATATATGCCATTAATAACTGTATAATTTATACCTGGCTGCTAAACCCTTGTTACTATTACAAGGTATGTATCTTGTATTTTGTAAATTGACAATTTACAAAATACAAGATACATACCTTGTAATAGTAACAAGGGTTTAGCAGCCAGGTATAAATTATACAGTTATTAATGGCATATATATATTGATTTAGTGGCCAGGTATAAATTACACAGTTATTAATGGCATATATATTGCACATATAGCACATATTGCACAAAGTTGGTTTGTATTTAGCAGCAAGGGGTGTTATAGTCTGTGTTGTGGTGTGTGTAGGANGTCACATGTTCAGAAAGTGTTACCCCAGAGAGTAACGGTGCCATGCCCCTACCTGAGATTACCCTGGAGGTTTCTCCACCGACAGGTGGGTAACGCTGAGTCAGCGTTACCCACCTGTCGGTGGAGAAACCTCCAGGGTAATCTCAGGTAGGGGCATGGCACCGTTACTCTCTGGGGTAACACTTTCTGAACATGTGACAAATATAGTGGTGGATGGAACGGCTGCTTTTTATAAGCACAAAGCTTCAGCATCTGCAATGCCTCTCTCAGTCTCGGACTTAAACATACACTCCAAAACCAACACACGCAAACTGTCCCACAAACTCACCAATATCTACCAACTTGCACATCTACACCCACCTGCCTGCCCTTTGACCCCCATTCTCTATCACAATGAATCAGAACTTTTCACACCATTCTCACCATTGATACAAAACTGAAAAAAAATGTATTGTAAGACTATTTTCCTGCTTATTAATTTACGAAATGTACTGTTAATATGTCAAGATTACGATTATGCTACTGACGTTGAGGTTTCACAATTGTAATGCACATTAATAAGCACACACCTGCATGGGGTGTTGGGGATGGAGTAATGGCTGCCGCAGCATCATCATCTGCAATAAAAAAGTAATTGACAAATACACCCACCTATCAAAAAGCTCAAAATCAGTCACTGCCGGGCCAAAAAGGCAAAAGATTGGAAGGCCTAAAAGGGCATTGATCGCATGACATACACATTTTGAAATGGAGTATGCAGCTCTTGGATAGGAAGAAAAGACAAAACCATCAAGCATTGATTGGAACCTATACTGTATGTCTAAAAAATAAAACAACATGGGATCATAGCTGCTCAATACTGCAAGATCTCCAATCAACCGAAACTAACGACACCGGCTTTTTACGAACTTGGCATACAGAAAACATATCATCTACCTTTAGTCAGCAAGTGCAAACCATACATGCAAAAAAAATGCTGATGATCAAGCTTCCAAAAACTTCCAATCTTCTGTATCTTCCAAGTATCTCGTCTTTCTTACTTGAGTTGCACATTTCTTCTTACAATCAATATATTCCAACCTGGAGATCGCCTATCAACACTATACAGTATTTTGTGTGAGTGTGTTTGTTCTGCTGATACATTCATATATCTGGATGATATAATTTAAAGACTCACCTTACGTACAAATTGTATCACCTCAGTTTACCAAGTCAATACTTCAACTTTTAGTCCTTATTTATCGGTCTATAACAGTCCCTATTTCTTAAGACACCTGAAAACTCGGACACTGAACCATGAAGCACTCTGGTGTAAGTATTTGTTTTGTAATTCTTATGGGCTCACATGCAATTAGTGTGATGTATGATTTGGAGCACTGTTTTAAAATCTAAATATAGGTTAATGCATGATTTCAACTAGGAAGAGTAAAGTCCATATCATTCTTATCAGGAAAGTAAAGATATCTATTAGCTTTCAGCGTTATAGATCATTTGGCCATGCTGCTGAGCCATGTAGTGTGCAACTGACATGACTCGTAAGACTTTCAGGGCTTGTTTCAGTAGCGTTTAAGGTGAAAGAGCTAGAGGTATAAATATGCATTCTGGGAGAGAAATTAGACTTCATGTTTGGATGCATACTTACCAGTTGGTGGGGGGGAGCAAGGACCCTCTTCCTTAACAGTAGATTTTTCAGACTCTGCCTGCTCTTTGACCCCAACCCCACCAGGCTGTGGTTGGTTTGTATTAGTCTCGGTGGGGCTTGGCTTCTGAGCCTCCACAGCCTGTCTTAGTTATCGTATCAACCATATTAGATATCAAATTTAGTGAAGGAATTTTACTTTGTGGTAATTTAACGCCGAATAGACCAGTAGATCGGTAACCATATGGTGAACAACTCGTCGTTAACAATAACGTTCTGATGGGTTCGTCAACACGTAGTTCGGAAACGACGAGCTCGATCCGAAAACAGACGACGTGCTCCCGACATTCGTCTACGCCTTTCTCGGTCATCGTCCTTGACTACCCTTCTTTGGTCTCGGGAGTCTCGGA